TGCCATTCCGGCTTTCCCCAGGAGCACGTGCCCAAACGATCATAGAGGCGCCTCTCCACCTGGCGGCGCATCTTTGGGTCACATGCTTCATGCAAGATGTCAAGCCGCCCGCATTCCATTTTGTAAAACTGAAGATTAAAGCGATGCGACTGTGACAGAGGATGTTTCCTTTTTAGTATTTTTCGGGACAACCGTGATGAGGAAAGTCAAGGATTAACACGACAAGCCCACACCGTGTGAACCCATCAACCTAGAACCCTAAAACTCTAAACCCTAAACCCCTGGCCCCTAAACTCTAAACTTGGCTTTTGGGGCCAGGGTTTTCGTGGGTGTGGGGACTAGGGCTTCGGAAACCCTAAACCCATAAAGCGTATCCATATGTATCCTTGATCGCTTAGAGGTCGGAAAATGGCTCAAACGCAGGAAGGGGGCCTCTTTGCTTTCGTGGGAGAGCTAATCAGCTCTATCATGTCTGAGGATTTAAGGATTAGGTCTTATTGTCATTGCCGCATGGCGAAACACACCCCGGACCTTGTTCTGGAAAGCCTGCGGATGCTTTGCCACCAATGTGAGGTAAGCATTGAGCTCGCGAACGTAAAGTTCGTGTGTTCGCTGGTCTGGTGGCAGGACCTGCCGTGGAGTCGGAAATGCTTCCGGCACATGGCAAACGGTCGAATCCTGCATGTCGCGGACGGCAGAACCTGCGGCGCATCCCATTGCGACAAGCGTGTGCAAATCTTACTTTGCAGCCAAGAACGGACCGAGTGATGCTGTAGCTGGGCTGCGGGCAGGGAAAGACAAGTTGCCACCCGCACAAGTGACTCCCTCCTAAAGAGTTCTGCTACCTTGAATCCCGGTCCACACCGAAGAGTCATCCGAACACCATTCATTGATGTTAGCAAAGTGCGGAATAATGCCGTTTATCTTGGAAGCGTCAGCAGTATTCTCATCCGCAATAGCATCGCCACCACCGGCAGCGGCAGCAGCAGCAGCAGCAGCACCACCACCACCACCACCGGCGTCACTTTTTCTTCGAGTTAAACCATGAGTGCCCAACAAGCATAACAAGAATGACACGCAGAATAATCAAAAAAGATAAACCTGCCTATGGTAAATGGAGTGGTTGAAAAATGTTACGGCGGAAGACTCCGAGCCTTGGCCTCCAAAGACTAAGGGCTTCCCGACTTCGAATTTCGGGCTTCAGGGTTTAAGGGTTTCAGGGTTTTGGGATTAGGGTTTAGGGTTTGGGGTTTCAGGGCTTTGGGATTAGGGTTTAGGGTTTGGGGTTTCAGGGTTTTGGGATTAGGGTTTAGGGTTTGGGGTTTCAGGGTTTTGGGATTAGGCTTCAGGGTTTAAGGGTTTCAGGGTTTTGGGATTATTTAGGGTTTGGGGTTTCAGGGTTTTGGGATTAGGGTTTAGGGTTTGGGGTTTCAGGGTTTTGGGATTAGGTTTAGGGTTTGGGGTTTCAGGGTTTTGGGATTAGGGTTTAGGGTTTGGGGTTTCAGGGCTTTGGGTTCAGGGTTTGGCGTTCATGGTGTCAGTGGTCGGGAGGTCGCAACTGCGCTTCGGCAGGTTTCAGCTACTTCTTATCGATGACGACCATCTCCACAACAATCGCCACGTACATTGCTTCAGTTATGTAGCCTTCACCTGTTCCGCTTACATGCTGTAGAATACTCGAACGAAAAGCAGAATCAACAACAAACACACACACACACACAACCAAAACCTGCAGAACGGTAAAAAACTGCAAAAATAGTAACAGTCATGAATAGTAGTAACAGTCATAGTATTGACACTACTACTGATAGTAATGATAATAATAAGAAGAATAAGAATAAGAAGACGAATAGTAACAATAACAACAATGACAATCATAACAAGAACAATGATAGCAATAATAGAGTTAGTATTGCTGTTATTTTTGTTATTATCATTTCTGTTAGTATGATTACCATCATTACTACTGCATTTACTATCTTCAATATACTAGTTATTGTGATTATTGTTATTGCTATTAATGATACTCATAGTAACTAAAAGCATAACAACAATATTGAATACTATTGATAATGGTTATTATTGTTACTGAAGAAATAATTACCATAATGTACAATGAAAATCATGAGCCTGTATTGAAAATCTTTATCATGGACATGCTCTCGCTCACATACTTCCACTTAATCGGCAAATTGCTGTATGCGTTATCTTTGCTGTTTTGTGTTTTGGTATAGGTCTTTGTGGCTGTGATGTTGTTAACTGAAAAGCCCAAGCAGTTTTCAGTCTTAACTGCCAACCAAAAGAGAGCCAAGTTTAAGTATGGCACCAGTTGAACAGGTCCGAAAAGGCTGAAGCTTGCCACCCAGTCCCTCTTTAATGCAACCAGTAAATCAAACATCTAAGAGTCTAAGCCCTCTACTAATCACTTCCCCCTTTTAGTAAACACCCCCCCTAACGATAAGAACACATTGGGGCGAATCCTTCCGAAATCATCCCTGCCCGTTCAAACCTATTCTGAATTGGGGGGGTTCGAGGCTCCAAATACCGTTACAGCACAGTAAGAGCAAGAGCAAAAGCAAGAGCAAGAGCCGGAGTTGGAGCAAGGGCAGGAGCAAGAGCAAAAGCGGGAGCGTCAGCAAGAGCGGGAGTAAGAGCAAGAGCAAGAGCAGGAGCAGGCGCCTGAGACGCAGCAGAAGCAGTAGCAGAAGCCAGCGCGGGAGCAAGAGCCAGAGGAGGAGCAAGAGCACGACCCCTCGAAAGTGGCAGTAGAGATTAAATAAAAAAAAACCCGAAAAAAAAAAGCACGCTCCCAGTTTCTATTGGGGGGGGTCCCTCCCAACTTAATATTAGGGGGAAGGGATTACATAGATACCTAAGCCAACCAAGCCCTTAACCCTGAACCCTTCAGACTAAAATCCCCAAACCCCGAAAGCGTAAAACTTCCTTTTGCCGGCCCTAAACCCTAAACCCTAAACCCTAAACCCTAAACTTCCTTTTGCCGGCTTCATTGTCACTGCAACGTGCTCGACGTCCGAGCTACGATCCTTGACCAGGCGGCCGCGTGGGCGACTCAACACCAGGGCTTTGGGGATTCTGGGCTTTGGGTTTAGGGGCTTGGGGGTTTAGGGTTTAGGGTTTAGGGGTTTGGGGGTTTTAGGATTCAGGGCTTAGCGGTTTGAAGGTTAGGGCTTTGTCTCAGATGACGACGATGAGCATCGTACTTGCATTCTACCTGCCTGAAGTAAAGGAAACACGAGTTGGAACAAGCCAGATGTTGTGACCTCTCGGATTTGCTGCACAGAAGATAGATTCTGTGATGTGGCAACCGAGAAGACCAAGCGCCGAAAAGAAGTAGAAGAACGCGGACTATGCCGCAGTGCGGCCGAGCCAAATCACGGAAACTCTTCCGCGAAGGAGCAATGAGATCTGAGCATGGAGGGTGAAACTCAACGTCGTCGGATCACCGAGAGACGTCGAAAAAAACTCATAAAGTTCTCACTAAAGTCTTAAATGCGGTCGGTTCCGAATTGGCTTAGCCGTCGGAGGGAAAAAAGGACAAAAGCCGAGGGCACACAGCGGTGCCCTTCTGATTGAGGATCGAGTTGGGAAGTCCTTGAGACGTGTTCGTCCCCATTCGGCCTTTTCCTTTGCTGCGGACTCCATTTCTCTGTGCGTGATCCAAGCCACTTTGATCGTTCTGCTGTGCATTTTTGGCCCAGTCCTTGCGGCTCGCGGCTGGAGCCAGATGCGCAGTCAGACGACAGTGACTACCCCGAACCGGGCACATGAACCGTCATGGAGAGCCGCAGCTACATACCGATAGAAACCCACTCCGCATCATCCGCTGGTTTTGGCTCCCGCTGCCATTCCGGCTTTCCCCAGGAGCATATGCCCAAACGATCATAGAGGCGCCTCTCCACCTGGAGGCGCATCTTTGGGTCACATGCTGCATGCAAGACGGAGCATATGAAGGCCAGCCCATATCAGATATTCGGGGTGTGGAAGGCTGAGGAAAGATATTCAATTGCAAGGCTATGCGTGGCAAGGTGCTGAGACGTTAATGAGAGTTGCGGCTGTGACTGAGGAAGTCTACTTCGTCGGGACAACCGTGATCAGGCAACGCAACGATTAACGCTAAAAGCCGTAAACCCGAGCCCCAACCCTGACACTTCACGCCGAGCGCACGCCCCGAATCCTTAAACTGTCGACAGCGCCACTGACCCTTTGCATGGGCGCTCGAGGCTCTGACCGAGGCCCCCAGCCGAGCGTCTCGAGTCTCCAAACAACGGTGAGGGAGGACAAAGGGAACGTTAGAAAAGGGGCCCCAAACCCCAGCCAGGCGGGATCACGCGGTGTCTGGGGGCCAGCACATGCAGGAAGCCTCTCAAAGCCCTCCATTCCATGGACTTTGCGAGGTCTCCAAACTTCAGGAGATTTAAACAAAAGGACAAGAAGGCTCTCAATTTTTTGGGTTTGATAAAAATCTAACTCACCTCTCAGGGATAGATGTTTACACTGTTTACACATCGACGCCTCGAGCGACCTTCACAGGGCGTGAGGGGCGGGTTGTTTGTTGGAAACCCTTGCTTCTTGTCGAGCGGCCGGACAACCCGACACCCATCCGTCTCAGCTGTGGTTTGCTTGGAAATGTGGTCTTATCTAGAGCTGCAGAGAAAGCAACCCTGGAGGGGGTTTTGGGGAGTGGCTTTAGGCCCTAGACCCTGTTTGAGAATTGTTGAAGTGACCATGCTGACGCAAGCGCACGACTAGTGGATGCGCCCCTGTTCCTACAGTAACCGGCACACCCACGGCGTGCACATTGTATACACACCCTAACATTCCCCAAACCTGCTTGACCCAAGCTGGGGCTACGAACCCCTGAATGGCTGTTTCGCTGGAAGCATGGCCTACACCGGTTTCGGTTTTAGGGTTTGGGCGGGCGCCTAACGCTACTCTGGCCACCCTGCCGCCGTTTGCTTCTGACACTGAAAAGCCTGAATTGCTTAAAAACTCGAAGCCATAAAAGCTGTAAAAGTACAGTTTCGTTTGCATCTAGACTACAAACTACCCTAAACCCTAAAGCCCCGAACCCTACCCGAAACCCTAAACCCGTGTTCAGACTTTCTGGAGATCTCTGTAGCCCTGCACCAACAAGTGGGGACTGACACCTCGGCAAGGTGGCGCAAAATGGCCTTAAACTTGTTGTGATCACTACAACTATGACTTCTACTTTTACTTCTACAATTACAAGTATTATTGAACACTATTAGTATTTTGGTATAACTATTAACATAATACTTATTCAAATTATTGTTGTTATTACTATCTTTGTTTTGTTATTATTGCTACTACTGTTGTTGTTATTACAATTACTACTACCATTATTAGTAGTAATACAACTGTTCTTATGGTTAAAACTCTAAACTCTAAACCCTGGCATATCCACTATCACTTACAGCCGGAAATGGACTGAAGCGCAGCAAGGTGGTTGCCTTCGTGGCAGAGTTGATCGGCTTTACCCATATGAAGGTTGAGGATGAGGGTGCAGGGTTTAGGGTTTAGGGTTATTGCCAGTGTTGTGGCTCTTGGATTTGATGCTGCGTATGACGAAACACACCCCGGACCTTGTTCTGGAAAGCCTGCGGATGCTTTGCCACCAATGTGAGGTAAGCATTGAGCTCGCGAACGTAAAGTTCGTGTGTTCGCTGGTCTGGTGGCAGGACCTGCCGTGGAGTCGGAAATGCTTCCGGCACATGGCAAACGGTCGAATCCTGCATGTCGCGGACGGCAGAACTTGCGGCACATCCCATTGCGACAAGCGTGTGCAAATCTTACTTTGCAGCCAAGAACGGACCGAGTGATGCTGTAGCTGGGCTGCGGCCAGAGAAAGACAAGTTGCCACCCGCACAAGTGACTCCCTCCTAATCCCGGGCCACACCGAAGAGTCATTCGATCACCATTCATTGATTGTAGCAAAGTGCAGAATGTCGTTTACACCAACTACAAGGCACGAACTCTTGGAAGCCTCAGCGGCCTTCCAGCATCGTCACCACCACTACCACCAGCAGTGTCACTGTTTGTTCGGGTTCTCAATGGAATGTAGGGGCCTCAATAATTAGAATAGGGTTTTGGGGGTTCCTTTATTATAATTATAGTACAATTTACCCCAAACCATATTCTAATTATTCAGGCCCTTATATTATGTGCTTGGAGATCCCTAAACCCTAAACCCTAAACCCTAAACCCCAAACCCTGAACCCTAAAACCCTGAACCCTAAACCCTAAACCCTAAACCCTAAACCCTAAACCCCAAACCCTAAACCCTAAACCCCTGAAGGCTTTCAGTCTTGACCTCCAACGGCTGAGGCCTCGTGACTTTGGGATTCGGGCTCTGGGGTTTGGGGGATACAGTATGGTTTAGGGTTTAGGGTTTAGGGTTTAGGGTTTAGGGTTTAGGGTTTAGGGTTTAGGGTTTAGGGCTTAGGGGTTCTAGTGGTGGATAAATGACTGACAAAAGGGCCTAAATAAGTACCAATACTATTTTGGGCTGTTCCTCTCATTCGAGTTATAGTAATAGTATAACATGCCCCAAAACCCTATTCTAATTATAGGGGCTTACTAACTAAGGGTTATGGGGTGGTCGGAAAGTCACACTGCGCTTCGGCATGTTTCGCCTACTTCTTATCGATGACAACCGCCAGGCGCATTGAGTCAATTATGTTACCTTAAAGCAGTTTCGTTTACATGCCTTAGAATAGCCAAACCGAACGCAGAATCAAAAAAGCACACAAAAACCAAAACCCACACAACAGACCCATGGAGATTCCCTAAACTCTGAACCCTGAATCCTATAACCTAGATCCCCAGCAAGACAAATAATGCACTGACCCCTGGAGAGGGCCTTATGCTCCTTCTCGCACCCTAAACCCTAAACCCTAAACCCTAAACCCTAAACCCTAAACCCGCCTTATGCTCCTTCTCGCAGCAGTAGGCCTTCTTGGCAGCAGACCAGCCCCTGCAAGATCAGAGCCAGACGGGTAGGGAGTCTGGGGCTTTGGGTTTAGGGCTTTAGGGCTTTAGGGCTTTAGGGTTTAGGGTTTAGGGTTTAGGGTTTTAGGGCTTTTAAAGCCCTAAAGCTTTAGGGGTTTAGGGTTTAGGGTTTAGGGTTTTAGGGCTTTAGGGGTTTAGGGTTTAGGGTTTCAAACGGTTTCAGCTATTACTGCTCATCCTCGTGGCATCTCTACTCCGGCACCGATGTTGACTGAAGCTACCAACACCTGGGCCTGAACACGTAGAAGATGGCGTTGGGATAGATTATAGCCTGACGAAACAACGACGATCATGGAATGATATTACTAACTATTTCGGTTGCGGCAACCAGCCTTGCTACCACCACCACCATCGCCATCAAGATCAGGACCGCGATTGCGGCTGCGACTCAGGCGACGATGACGAGCGGAAGCTTTCACACCCCCGAAAGCCGCATACCCTGACCCCCAACCATCAAAAATCCCCAAGCCCTCCACCCCCATAGCCAAACCTTAAAATCCCTAACCCTCAACCCCAGACACCCCTAAAGCCCTAAACACCGCCAACACCACCAAATTGAATCTAACCTCCATCAAAAAAACAATGCTTCAAACCCTTCAAACACATTTAAACAGAAAACTTCATTTTCCGACGCTCTAAGCCTCTCCCAATTCGCGAAGCCGGCTGCACAGTCGTAGCCTTTGTTTTGTCATGAAGGGATGGGTGTTATGAGGGTTTAGGGTTTAGGGTTTAGGGTTTAGGGTCGGGTTCTATAAGGTTCTTTTAGGGGCTCTACTTTGGCTTCTATAGCGGTTATAGAAGGGTTTTGTTGGGTTTCATAGCGGCTTCATGGATTCTCTGACGGGGTTCCAGGAGGAACCAATGCAGATCCTACTCCCTGGCCAAGGATGACAGCCCTCGCAGTAGGCACTCTGAGGCATCCTGCAAGCTTTTCCTTCTGTGTGGCAGCAGAAATGCTTCCTCAGAGCTGCTAGGAGGCTTCGGGGTGCAGGGTTCTAGGGCCTAGGGGCTCTGCCCTGCACCCTACAACAGAAATCCCCAAGCCCTACAGTAAACTCTAGACCCCCAACCCCTGAACCCTAAACCCTAAACCCTAACCCTTGAGTCTTCAGGGTGTTAGGCTTCTTGGTTTACGGTTTGAGGCTCAAGGGGTTTGGGGTGGTGGGTTTGAGGGTTTGCCCTAAACCCTAAGCCCTAAACCGTGGTGGCTGGGTTTAGCGGTTTAGTATTTCGGCTGTTAGGGGTTTGCGGTTTTTAGCTGTGCCTCAGAGCCTGCTGTTGAGCTTTCAGCACCAGGCACAACAAGCGTTTAGGGCAAAGCGCCGTCTGTTTGCAAGACCAGCAAAAAGGATAGGAACGGCAACAACAAAACCAATCCCCATAGCAACACTGAGATAACACTGATGGGTTGCAACCATAGTAGCCGTGACTTTGGCGGCAAGGTCAAACACAACTACAACCAGCAACAACAGCAGCCTGCAGCAGCAGCAACAGCAACAGCCGCAGCAGCAACAACAACAACAACAACAACAACAACAACCACAACCACAGCGAGAGCGACAGCTACATCGACAGCGACAACGGCAGCAGTAACAAAAGCAACTGCAACGGCAACAACAACGGCAACCGCAGCAGCAGAAGCAGCAGCTGACGCAACGATAACGAACCACACAATAACCCTAATCTAGCCACCATCAGTCACCATCACCATCCCAGAAATCACAACAGCAAGAGTAATCATCATCTTCACCATGGTTATCATAACGACAAATAAAACATGAAATAATTACGACTGTACAAATATTGGCAGTAATAATCTGGGTAATTGATGATGATAATGACAACAAGAACGAGAGTATTAATGATACGGACCCAGGATCTGTGGGGTCGTCCACAGGATCTCCCACTGCTCAAAGCCGGTCTGAGCAAGCGATGGAGGAAAAGGGCGAAGGCGTTGCAACGTGAGGTTAGGGCTTAAGGCTTTAGGGCTTCAGTCTCTTTACGATTAACTTCCTTAAAGTGTAGCTCTCGAGACTTAGAAAATCTCCAAAGCGATGTTTGGGGGTCTAGGCTTGGAGGTGTGGGGCTTTAGGGCATAAGCTCTAGGTTTTTTAAGTTTGATGTTGGTGAGTTTTGAGCTTCGGGGTAGGTGAAGGCAAACCAAAGCACAAAGGTGGGAGTTGCAGGCACTTGGTTCAGAGCTTCGCTGACTTTGGTAGGTATCAACTAGACGCTGCTGATGATGGGGCATGCGTCATGGCGAGCTGTATGTCGGTCGTGGCTTTAGTTCGCAGGGTTTCGAGTTGAGGGTTTGGGGCTCGGAGCATTTAGAGCCCAAAGTTCCAAATCCCTAAACCCTAAACCCTAAACCCTAAAACCTAAACCCTAAACCCCTGAATCCGCACTGCTCCTGGCATCCTGGCCTCCTTTCACCCTGTAGGGGCCGATGCTACTCGCTGCTATGGTTTAGGGTCTTGGTTTAGGGTTTAGGGGCTATAACTGCAGCAGCCACCGCACAAGTTTACCGTCTTTCCTTTTGAGCCTGCAGGGATTTGGTTATGGCCCCGAAAAATCTCCGAGCACGTTTGTTGAAGTAAAGGCTTCCCTACCCTAAACCCCGAAAACCCCGAACTTGTACTCTAGGCGCCTGAATAAGTACCTATACTATTTTGGGGGGTTCCTTATCATTATACTACAAAGGGCCCCAAAACCCTATTCTAGTTGTTAAGGCCCCTACATTACTCGGAGGCTCATTAGACTTAGTGGGTCAACTGAGAGCCCAAGTAAGCCCTAAGCCAAAAACCTTTATGGAACTTGCAAAAACCTTCAAGCTTTATAAGTCCGTTATAAACACCCTGGACAAATACTCCTTGAAAATTAGCCTCCAACTCGATCTCAACACCCTAAAAGCCCTGCAGCCACTAAAAATCCCTGAAACCCTACGCCCTAGACCCCACTCTAAGCCTTAATGTCTCAAACCAAACCCTAAACCCTGAACCCTCAAGCACATGGCAAATATGGTTGTATGTTCTGCCAACCGCTTGGCACAGCCAGCCTAGTACAGCCAGCCCACTAAGCCTTAGCCCAATTCCTCCCGCCCAGCCTCAGCCAGCTGTATATCTACCAAGCCCAGCCCTACTCCAGCCCCGCCCAGCCCATTGAACCCTATACAATTTCTGTTCCAAGGGCAAAGGGCAAAAGTTCGAATTGCAAAGCAAGTTCGCATGGCAATGCAAAAAGCGAAATGCCCCCCAAAACTCCGGACCTGAACCCTATACAATTTCTATAAACCCTAAACCCGAACCAAACCCCTTAATTCGGCCTCACAGTCAAAGGTCTCCCCGCAGCCGAGGTGTTCATTTGCACAGCACCACACCTTCGGCATGGGTTTAGGGTTTGGGCTGTCGGGTTTAGGGTTTAGGGTTTAGGGTTTAGGCTGTAGGGTTTAGGGTTTAGGGTTTAGGGTTTGGGGTTTAGGCTGTCGGGTTTAGGCTGTAGGGTTTGGGCTGTAGGGTTTAGGGTTTAGGGTTGGCCTTTCGTTTGAAGGGGATGGAGGGTCGGGAGAGGGATTGGGGCTCGCGGTTTAAGTGGCCACCCAGACTCTTTTGCCATAATTCTGGGCATGTTCTGGCAGTTTCTTGACTTCTCTTGCCGGCTTTCCTAAACGCCCCCCTCGTTTGTCCAAGTTGAGGCCATGCCGACCGGCAGCCGCCAAGACAGCCTCACATTCCGGTTTAGGATTTGAGGTTTAGGGGTTAAC